TCTCTACTAAAAATACAAAAATTAGCCAGGCGTGATGGCGTATGCCTGTAATCCCAGCTACTCAGAAGGCTGAGGCAGGAGTACTGCTTGAACCTGGGAGGTGGAAGTTGCAGTGAGCTGAGATTGCACCACTGCACTCCAGCCCGGGTGACAGAGCAAGACTCTGTCTCAAAAAGAGAAGTATACTCTGCAGATTTGAAGAGCAGAGACACAACGAGGAGGATGCCAAGGGCTGAGACAGAGAGAGGAAACTGGGCAGAGGACAAATAGGAAGTTCAGGGTACCAGGTCCTACTCACTCTGTGGTAAGATGCTTCCTGAGGACTCCTTGATGCTGCATTTTAGAAACATCTGCTTTGGTGGCTGACTTCCTCCCTAGCTGTTCTCTCTCAACACCTTTCTGCTTACCTGTCACCCTCTTCATGCCATCTTTAACATTGTACATACACCTGGCAGCACTGACTGTCCTGGGTCACCAGGTCCCTGTGTGCCTGACACTCTGCAGTCTGTGACCAACATTGATACTTAGCATTCACGTTGCTGTCTAGAGGGAAGTTGCATCAACAAAATTATTGGAAAGAAAAAAGATGTATTTGTCAACCTAACACATAGAAGGGAGGGAGAGGCCGTTCCTGTGCTGCATTCCTCAACCTCCTAGTCATTCTAAGAGGTCACGCTGACTACATCAGAACAGCAAGGGGAGGGCGAATAGAAAATCTGTGATAACCTGAGTGTGCCAGGAAAGTTCAATAAATAGAATCGCATGTATGAACCCATCTGTTTTCCAATCCCAACTTGTACCTAGAGAAGAAACAACAGTGGTGGGGAGCAAAAGTCTTACCCCCTGAAATAAAAAGAGTACTTTTCCTTGAGGGCTGTGAAGTTCAACATGTTTCAAAGGCTGACCAAATATAAATAAGATGACTTAAATTGACACCAGGCGGTAATTCATGTTGAGGGAAAACACAACACAGGAAAACCCACAAATAGTTTCTAAATAGCACAAGTCAGTCATAACTACCTCTTTCACATTTCTGAAAGATTCTTTTGTTGTATATTTGCTGATACTTTGGATGCGGAAAGACAGGGAAAACAGTTTATTGTAGGTTTTATTTATTTGTGTAAACGTAGAACTTTCCCTTGGAAAGAAATTATCATCGTGGGAGTTTAAATTCCTTGGAACTGTGCAAGTCCCATTCCTAAAGTCTGGCCTTAACTCCCAATAAAGCCTCTTAGTTTATTTGTTTATTTATTTTTAAAAGATGGTCTTAATTACTTCATCGACAAGAAGATTAATGCTTAGCATTATTGACTCACGTAATGAAGGCCTAAGGCTAAATTCTAATGTTTCAGAGATAAAAACATTGCCATTTAACATACTTCATGGCCCAGAAAGCAATGATAAAAGGACCACCAAGTAAACCTTGTAGACGTATTTAGAGAAACAGTATTTTGTGAAGGTCTACGTGAATGGGGGCAGAGGGAGGTTACCTGAATTTCCTCGTCTGTTTCTTTCACTAGGAGATGGAGAATTTTCTGAAATGGTTCCAGGTAAGCTTCCCATCTGGACTTGTTCTAGGCCTTCTGCAGGGTCCACAGTATTCTTGGTCAGAGCAGCTTCCATCTGGGGGCTGCAGTTTTCCCCACTATGAGGCACACCGACATCAGCCTGTGAAAAGGGAACAGCTTTGTTAGAATCAAGATTTCTCGGTAAATAAAAACAATGTTGCAGGGTCTGCTTTGTGACTATTTAGCCAGTTAGTATCTGTGGTGGGCTGTATAGTACCCAGAAAGCCATAGATCAGGGGTCCCCAGCCCCCCGGGCCACATACCTGTACCTGTCTCTTATACACATCTAAATTAAACAGTCCCATAGATCAGGGGTCCCCAGCCCCCCGGGCCACATACCTGTACTGGTCCGTGGCCTGTTAGGAACCGGACTGCAGAGCAGGAGGTGAGGAGTCGGCTAGCCAGCGAAGCTTCATCTTTATTTACAGCTGCTCCTCATCACTCACATTACCCCAGAGCTCTGCCTCCTGTCAGATCAGCAGTGGCATTAGATTCTCATAGGAGCACAAACCCTATTGTGAACTGCACATGTGAGGGATCCAGGTTGCGTACTCCTTTTAAGAATCTAATGAGGCCGGGCGCGGTGGCTCATGCCTGTTATCCCAGCACTTTGCGAGGCCGAGGCGGGCGGATCACCTGAGGTCAGGAGTTTGAGACCAGCCTGCCCAACATGGTGAAATCCTGTCTCTACTAAAAATACAAAAAAATTAGCCAGGGCATGGTGGCGGGCACCTGTAATCTGAGCTACTAGGGAGGCTTAGGCAGGAGAATTGCTTGAACCCAGGAGGCGGAGGTTGCAGTGAGCCGAGATTACACCACTGCACTCCAGTTTGGGCCACAAGAGTGAAACTCTGTCTCAAAAAAAAAAAAAAGAGTCTAATGCCTTATAATCTGTCACTGTTTTCCATTACCCCCAGATGGGGCTGTCTAGTTGCAGGAAGACAAGCTCAAGGCTCCCACTAATTCTACATTATGGTGAGTTGTATAATTATTTCATTATATATTACAATGTAATAATAATAGAAATAAAATATACAATAGATATAATGCCGTTGAGTCGTCCTGAAACTATCCCCCCAACCCTAGTCCATGGAAAAACTGTCTTCCACAAAACTGGTCCCTGGTGTCAAAAAGGTTGGCAACTACTGTTTTAAGCCACTAAACTTGTGTGAATTGGCTATAGCAGCAATAGAAAACGAATATAGTATCTCATAGGCATCTACCAGGTAAAAGCTACTATGCTGAGCATTCTGGAGGATACCAAGATAGACAAGTTCAGCCTTGAGTGTGAGAGTAGAGGTACTACGGTATTAAAACAATTTATAATAATGAAGCTATATTGTTTTTGCTGATTAAAAATGTAATACAGACTGGATGTGGTGGCTCATGCCTGTAACCCCAGCACTTTGGGAGGTGGGGGAGGGAGGATCACTGGAGCCCAGGAGTTCGAGACCAGCCTGGGTGAGATGGGGAAACCCCATCTCAAAAAAAAAAAAAAAAAAAAAAAGTGATGCTGACTTAGATTTATTGTAAAAAATAATTAAATAATATAAAAGAGAATTGCAATGGTTAGTTTTATGTGTCAACTGGGCTAGGCTATAGTAGCCAGTTATTCTGTCAAACACAAATCTTAGTGGTACTGTAAATGTAGTTTGTAGATGTGGTTAATATATGTAATCAATTGACTGTAAGTAAAGGAGATTACCCTTGATAATCTGGGTAGGTCTCATCCAGTCAATTGAAAGGCTTCAAGAGTAGAACTGAGGTCTTCCTGAGGAAGAAGAAATCTGCCTGTGAAATGTAGCTTCAACTCCAGCCTGTTCTTTTCAACTGCCTGCCCTATCCTATGGATTTTGATTTTCCTAGCCAGCCTTCATGACTGTGTCAGCCAGTTCCTTACAATTTACCTATCTACCTGTCTATCTATCTGTCTATCCTACTGGTTCTTTCCCTCTGGTAGAACCTTGATTGATAGAGAAACACAGTAGAAAGTAATAATATCTTCTAGAGAGAAGCACTACTAACATTTTAGTATATCATCGCCCAGATGTATTTGCTCACATAACCTTTAAAAATACATTGGAACTGGCCAATAAGCACACGAGAAGATGTTCAACATTATTAATCAGTAGGGGAATGCAAATTAAAACCACAGTGAGATACCCCTTCATATCCCCTAGGATAACTATAATGAAAATGACACATAATAACAAGTGTTGGTGAGGATGTGGAGAAATCGGAACCCTCACATATTGCTGGGCAAATGTGAAATGGTGCAGCACTTTAGAAAACACTTTGAGAGCTCTTCACAAAGTGAAACATAGAGTTACCATGTGACCCAGAAATTTCACCCCTAAGTATGTACCCAAGCAAAATAAAAACATCTGTTCTTGCAAAAACTTGCACACAAATATTCACAATTATTATTTATAATACCCCCAAAGTGGAAACAACTTAAGTATCCATCAGCTGATGAATGTATAAATAAAATGCAGTACAGTCATCCAAAGGAATATTATTCGGCAAGAAAAAGAAATTAAACACTGACATATGTTTCAACATAGATGACACTTGGAAATATTATGTTAAGTGAAAAAAGCCAATCACAAAGGCCATTCATATTGAGAATAGGCAAATTTATAGAAACAGAAAATAGATTTATTGATTGCCTGTGCGGGGGGAATGAGGATTGACTATTAATGGGTAGTCATTTCTTTGTGGAGGGCAAAATGTTCTAAAATTAGATTGTGGTAATGGCTGTTAATTGTACATTTTAAATGGATGCTATGGTTTGAATGTGTCCCTTTCAAATTCAGGTGTTACCAATGTGATAATATTAAGAGGTGGGACCTTCAAGAGCTGATTAGGCCATGTGGGATCCTCCCTCATTAAGGGGATTAAGGTGTTGTAAAGAGAAGCTTCACACAGATTTAGTTAACTTGCTCTGCTTTTCTGCCATGTGAGGACACAGAAGGGCAGCCCTCACCAGACAATCAAACCTTCCATTGCCTTGATCTTGGACTTCCTATAAAAAGAAATTTCTATTTTTTATAATTTACCCAGTCCACGGTATTCTGTTATAGCAGCACAAACAGACTAAGAGAGGAGGTGAATCATGTGAATTACATTTTAATAAAGCTGTTTTAAAAATAAAATGAAAAGAATTATATATTAAACGATATTATATTTCTGTAACCTGCTCAACAATATGTAAGAAACATTTACCTATATCAACATATAAAGGCCTACCTCATTCTATTTAGTGATAAGGAGTAGCTACTTATCTGACGATGGCATTGGAGCTCATTATGTAACTATGCCACAATGTATTTAGCCAAGTCCTACTGAAGGACATGTAGGTGTTTCTAACTTTTCAATAATATAAACTGTGTTGGAATAATACATGTGAATATACATCACTGTGAACCCATGAACCCATCCAATCATTCCATGAGAATAAATTCCTGGATGTGGATATGTTGGGTCTAAGGATATGCACATTTTATATTAATATATGTTTCCAGAAGGTTCTCCATAAATACTGCACTAATTTATAATCCCACCTTCTCCTTTCAAGGGTGTGTGTTTCTTCAAACCACAGTTCCATTGCTTGTAAATAGGTCAAAACAAAGCACAAAAATGGTCTCTCGGTGATTTAGTAAAAATCATTGATGACAAAATGCTGGTCCATGTTATATTTTTCACAGTTCCACAGCAAAATAAGAACAATGTAATGAGTTTTTCACAAAGCTGAATTAATTCAATTTAAAGAACTGTCATTTATTTTTAGAGTAAGTAAATTTTAAATGTCAATGTGTTCAGAAAGACTTTTATTGTATCTCCCTTGACTACCATGTGTTCTCTCTCCAGGTGCTGGCCCTCTTTCATTGCAAGTTTCCCACTTCTCATTTCAATGGATGTTATCAACGTCTTCTCCATCTAAGACACACATACCAGAG